GCAGTGAGAAAGCATTTGATGATGAAATTTTAATGAAAATTAATGCATAAAATCTTCCATAGAAGATATTTTAAATGTGTCTGATACTTCACAATGCAGCTTTCAGTTTGAAGAAAGAGTATCAGAATATGTTTACGAAGATATGACTTATTATGACATGAAGTACTCTTCCTAACAATAAAAACAAAACTGAAGTTACTGATTATTTTTTAAAATGAATTTATGTAACTTTTATACATAGCTTTGATGGAATGGATACATTAATGTATATAATTTTGCATTTACATTTCATTTTACTACTACAGTTAAAAGTCTTTAATCTGGATGTCCATAATCCGGACCTTAAAGCTACAAACTTTCTGCGCATGCACATATGCATTTATGCATGTGCATAATACGTTTACACATGTGCGTTTAATGTATAAGGAATGGTATAAGCTAAGCTAAAATTATCTAATTATCTATTTCAGTTAATATTGCAGATTCTGTTGTTCCTTAATCTTCTAATTGGATCCAGCTTATTATTTTTTGCAGACTGTTGGAGCAATTTTATAAAGTAAGCTTGAACTTTCGATTATGTCAAAAAGAATTTCCGATTCTGGAGCTACCAAAGGATCTACAAAGTGAAAGTATGTTTTTAATGTCCATCAAACAAAAAGTGGAATTGCTGCAAAAAATGGATAAAGGCATATCCTTTGATTCTCTAACCATTCTGAAATATGTTTATCAATTTCACGCTGCTCTGGTGGTGGTGGGGGGAACGTCGTGGCGCACAATGAACTGGAAGTTGATCTGTCAGCACTATCTTCATCTTCAGGGCAGATGTTTTTATTTTATTCGGCTTATAATTCCTTACTAAATGTAGTATTTCATCTCGATGTACTCCATCTTTGATATAATTTAAATCAAATTCCTCGTCATTATAAATATCACGAAAACACATCAAATAGTTTTCTGGTTGCAATTTTCTAATTTCAACCTAGTAATTACCTAGTAAATTCAGCATTAAAAAAACCACTGCATGGAGATGGTACACATTTTATCGTAAAGTCTGATGATAACAAAAGACTTTGTTGTAAAGAGTCCCATAGCCAGACTGTTTATAGATGCAAAGTATGTAATGTAGCTTTACATCATGATTGCAGTGAGCTTTCATGCTTAAATCTTTCAAATGAATAATTTTGTATTTGTAAAGAATATAATGTATATTTTAATATTAATTAATTACAAGTAAAGTGATTTATACCTTTATATAAAACATTATACGCTAAAAGTATTCCAGTGCTCCACCAAGGAAACATCGCACGTACAATCCTAGTCACTAAACATCCGTAGCCTTATTCCGCTGACGTTGCGTGAACGCAATACTCGCTTTTTCCTCAGGTAAGAGCATTTTTTTTTTATTTTCAATGTAAATTTATGTTATAAATGCTTAATCTGATATTTGTTGTTATTTTCATGAGAAAAAAATCATTCCTTATAACTTTCGCAGTTAATCTACTCAGATTACCATAAATGAAACAACTTGGCAAAAATAAAATAACTTTGCAATAATACAAGAAGCACCTTTCAATCTACTCTAACCGCTTTGTAATACAAAAATCAGCTCTGTGTTCTGAAATTATAACTCTATCAAACGCAACTAGTAGCAAAAGTTTTGACAACATGCAAATGGCTGACATCGAAGAATTGATGCGAGAAAGCCCTTTTTGAATGAGGATGATTTGATTGAATTTATGAAAGTTTATGATAATAAAGAGGTCGATAATGACAAAGTCAATGGTGAAGTTCAGCTATTAACAGTTGATTTAATTCGCGATGGCTTGAAATTCGCTACAAGTATGAAACAACATTTTCTTACTCATGACACTTACGTGGAGTGTGCATTAAAATTTCAACATAATCTTAAGTTTTGTGTAGCTAGATATTGAGAATTATATAAGAAACTTAAGAAACAAAAAAAAAAAAAAAAAAGACAGTCTAACAGACTTCGTAACAACAGAAGTCGTTAATAATAAACAAAATTTTCCATTTGAATCAAACCCGGGAGCTGTGCTAGACGTATCAGACATATCTACTGATAGCATTTTTGATCCAGTTCGTAATAAACGTGCACGTTTATCAGCACGTAGCAATGAATAGTTGCGAAACTGATTTTTATTCCTAATTTCAATTTAATTTTTTATATGTACTTAGAGACTGAATTTTCACTGTATTTTTGTAATAAAAATTAATTGCTTTTTTATAAATATATAATAGGGATTACATTATCACTTTTTTTTTGCACGGTAGTTTGGGAAAATATTTAGAGCTTTCATCTCATAGGACTTTTTTAAAGTTGTGGAATATATTCCCAAATTTACCATATGTTGCATGTATTTTTTTTTTTTTCCATGGTTTTCTAAGGAACCTATGTAAACATGGCACGTGTAAAAAAGAGCAGGGTGTATTATTATTTGGTTCTCGAAACTATCGGTTACTTGAAAACTTCAGTTGTAATCAAGTAGACAGTATACAAAGATTCTGGGTAGAGTAGACTTTAAGGTACCCCTTGTATTATGGTGAAGTTGTCGTTTGATTTATCGCCAAATTGTTTGATTTATAGTATCCTGAGTAGTTGAATGGTATGAAACCCTATTGTGACGTAACTCAGGTCATGATTTGGGAAATTTTGAATCGGGATGTTTTGTAAGCATTTGTGTGTGGGTTGGTTTATTCTTAGACGTAGAATGGCCGAATGTCGTAAGATTATTTGAAGTTTCTGTACAATTTGCAGCGAAAGGGGAAAAGAAATTTATTGACTGGGTGTAAGAAGGTTTACTTAGTAGCCATTATAAGTGTCCTGTATGTAAATGATATGCGTCTAGTCAACGTAAGAACTGTTAGATGGCTTTGAATGGTTTGTAGGCAGAAGTTAGATGGTCACTATGTGAACGTTCAATCATAAAGATACTGGTTTGAAAAAGTCATTTGATATGATGATTTTTGATTTTTACGTGGCTCTGGTTACGAACGAACTCGAAAATCTCAAGACGGAATTGATATTAAAATAATAAGACGGTAATGGCTGGAAAAATTTTGTAGAGATTTTTGCGTGGATATTTGTCTTCGGAAAGGTGAAAAGATTGGGGGTGCGGGAATTGTTGAAATAGATAAAAGTAAATTTGGAAAGTGGAAGTATAATAGAGGTAAACGAGTGGTGGGAAAGTGGGTGTTTGGTGGAATAGAACGAGGGACGGGAAGGTGTTTTTTTGAAGTAGTTGAGGATAGAAGGAAAGAAACTTTATTGGATGTAATTGAAAGAAATATTTTGTCAGGTACAACTATTATATCTGACTGTTGGACGTCCTATAATTTTCTTTCTGATCATGGGTTCGTTCACCTTTCTGTAAATCATGCACTCACGTTTAAAGATCCAGAAACAGGAGCTCATATAAATAATATTGAAGGCATGTGGGGTGTGGTAAAGAGAGATTTTCGAAAAAAGTGTCATCGACAGTCGGGAACTATGCAGGATATTTTTGACTCGGATTTTTGTGAATTTATGTGGCGACGTCGATATACGGATTCGAGTTCAGATAATTTTCGGATGCTGTTAAGGAATGATGTGTGCCACAGACTAAAGACGAAGTAACTTCTAAATAGGGTAAGTGAATATTTGCTTTTGGTAGTGCTTAGATGTATAACATGTTTTTCCTTTTTTATGTTATTTTATTGTTGGGTTTAAAATGTATTTTATTGAGATTATGTATTTTTGTTTCCTATATTTAGAATTTGGTGCTCGATTGCTTTAGTGAAAATATATCGATGTGTACATGGACAAAGTAAAGGAATGCGGCCAGTTTGTGCATTCTGGGATTTTTTTAAAGTGAAAATAGGTCGCGTGTACATGGATAAAGTTAAAAGAGGCGCAATGGCATTTTTGTGCAATTCGGTGATTTTTTTTTAAGTCAAATTAAGTCGATGTGTACATGGATACCGAGTTTGTGCAATTGTTTGTCTTGTTATTTTGGCTTTGTGTAGCGACGATTTTTGGCACAAAAATCACCGCTTCGCAAGCTAAAATAATGAGTCAAAGAATTGCACAAAATCGGTATCCATGTACCGCCAAAAATCGCCAAGGGGTACTCTATACTATACTTTTACCAAGACTTATTCAACACAAAATAAACATTTATAGTTCTAAAATATTTCCTAAATGATTTTTATTTAGAAAGCTTTATTCAAAAACTTCAATACTTACTGCAATTATGAAGAACGTTCCCACTAGCTTTACAAATTCCAAATATTGCATTTTAGAATAAACAGCAAAAATTCAAATGGGCCACCCTTCCCCATTCCTGTTTTATTTTCTCTAGCAATATTGGAAACAGAGCTCTTGAAATACAATTTCAATAATTTTATTTCCATTACTGCTATGGAAATAAAGGTGCTTTATAACAGAAAGAAAGTGCTTGAAAGATACATTTCAAATTCTGTTAACAAAGAATTCTTTATTAATGTCACAGTCATCATAATTTAGTTGCTATTTGTAATTTTCATTCAAAAATTTTAGTGGAATGAAAAAGTTACAATAAGGGTATGTAATGCTTAAAATCTCATAGTGATTTCTTTGAATATTTTACTTCGAGTAAAAAATACCTTTCTTCACATTTGAATTCAGTATGCAATTCCGAACCTTGACGATCCATATGACTAACCGCTATAAATTAAATGTTCCATGTGAAAAGTGATGTATAAAAAATGTACCACTAGGGATGAAGTGCCCCTCCTCTAGCTATGCTAGCCACAGGTGTGGCATACTGAGTATCAAAACAAAATATAATAACTGCACAACATAGTCTCTTTCCCTTTAAATGGCCTTTATATAAACTGGGAAACTTGAATGATAAAAATATGCAGTCTTGCCAAAATATGATTTTAAAGTGAATATTTGAATCTTAACATATTTTATTCCTAAGTGAACAAATAATGAATTATAATAGAAAAATGATATCTACCTCTTATCTGTCGATCTAATTGATAACCTTCTTTTCTTAAGGCAGATGTCCATTCACGAACCTAAAAAAATAAAATATGAATGTATTTCAACCTAAATATCATAAATTAAAATCATCATCATAAAACACCATTAAAGCACTATCATAAATTAAAACAATTTCTTTTGTGAACATCACGAGACCAAAAATTACACTTAGAGGAACTACAGTGAACCATAAAATCCCAATTAATACAAATTACAAAATAGTCCATAAAAATACTTGTTTTGCATTAAATATATTTTACTTGCATATTAGGACTATACAAAAATAGTAACAAACCATCTCTCATATAATTTAAAGAAGCATTTTAATAAAAGTGCAGTACACTCAAGCCTGCTCCATTTTCCATCAGAGCTTCTTCTGTGTCTATATTACAGTTAAGAATTCAGATATTTGTCGTCCACCAAACGGTGTAGTGGTTAGTTGAGCCTACTACAGTACTGAAGGGTCCAGGTTGGAATCCCGGAGAAGACACGGATGTTTGTAAATGTATAGTGTCGATGTGGGATGGCGGCACAAAATATGCGGCGAAGCGAAAGTCCTCTCATGTGGATTGATGGGAATGGAAAATAGAAGGGGTGTCGTCCACCCAAACGGTTTTATGTGTTTGTGTAGGGTTTTAGTTGAGCTGACTATACAGTTACTGAAGGGTCCAGGTTGGCATCCCGGAGGGGAGAAGACACGGATTGTTTGTAAAATGTATAGTGTCGATGTGGGAGATGGCGGCACAAAAATATGCTGTGCGACGAAGCGGAAAGGTTGGTCCTCTCATGGCGGTGGATGTGGATGGGGAATGGAAAAAGAAGTCCAATCTATCTTTGAAGTAGGCCCTGGCAACCACTGTTCTATTGTCATATGGACACAACAACAACAATTCAAATATTGTATTATCTCATGACTTTCTTCTAAAATTTTGACTATTAGTGTTGTTAGCCAGTTGTTGCACCATTAGTTGTACACGAAAATATATTTTCAATTGCATTTAATACATTAACACCTGTACCATTATTATTACCTTTACTTTATTACATTTTACCCGACTACCTAAAAGATTAAAATTCAAAGATGCCTCATTAAAACCATCTATTGCATTAACGTTTGCATCACTATTCACTGTAGGCATTTCTAAAATGCTATATTTACACGTCATATACAAATTAGAAATTTTTTCGTAAAATATACAGTTTACATTAATATATTTATTCATTATAAATTTGGAATTTTGTTTTTGAGTTAAACATATCATGTGTACTGGTTTGTCAAATATTTTTGTAGAAACTTAAGTTTTTGTCTCTAATTTTTTGTTTGTTTTGGATTTTAGCTTAAACTGTGTGTCAAAATGTGGTTTTTGCATGTGTGAAAACGCGTTCTTGGAGACATTTCAGGCTAAAGTCGAATGCAGACAAAAATTTCGATGTAATATGGCACCGTTGGAGTTCTCCCACAATGTTTGGGAGAAAATTTGGGACTTGCGGCGCATATAAGAGTAGGGATGATCTTTGATTATGGTAACTTGGCGTTTTGGCGACGAACTCTGCTACAGCAACCCGTTTTTTTTTCACGCCATTTGGTCTACACGAAGAAAGAAAGTTTCTTTCTTTTCTTACTCAACACTTTTCCAACAATCTGCTAGCCGAATCACCTTATGCTAGAAATTTATGGAACAAAACTGCTTAATCATGACAATATTAACTGCCAAAATTGGAACAATGAAGAATCGAAACCCTGCCCCGTTTTTCAAAATTGCACATACACAGTAACCAGGTACACGTCGACTTTTTACTTAAAAAAAAACCGAATTGCACAACACGGCATGCGCACTCTTGATTTATCCATCTACACTGCTATTTTCTTATAAATACAAACAATTTGCACGAAAATGCAGGAAAAATTGTGAATCTAAACTCAGGTAAAAAGCAATATGAAATACCTGATCGCGAAAAAGTATATACCATCAAGGAGAACATTCCACGTATAATATAATAAAATATCCAAAAACTTTTACCTCTAAATTATCTATAAAACGTCACGAACGAATTCATAACAAAACATTAAAAATGGTACAAATATTAGTGTCAATATTAAATATTCCATGCAGTTGCTTAAACAAATTGCTACAAAACATTAATAAAAGAACTCCATTTAATAAATAATTAAACCATGTAAGTCGACTTATTTTTACTTAAAAAACGGTTGATCTTTGGATTATGGTAACTTGGCGATTTTTTGGCGAAAATTTGGCGACCAACTGCTACAGCCTTTTTCTATGTTTTTTTCCGCCGCCATTTGTCTTCACGAAAGTAAAAGACTGTTTCTTTTCTTTTTATTTACTGAACACTTTTTCCAACAATCTATAGCCGAATTACTTATACTAGAATTTTATCAAACAAACCTTATCATGACAAATATTCACTGCAAAATGGGAAAAGTGCACAATACCATACTCCTTACGCGTTTTCAAAATAAACACATACACATAAACCATTGTACACGTCGACTTATTTTTACTTAAAAAACATTCCAGAATTGCCAAAAATGGCTTGCGCACCTCTTCACCATATCCATGTACACTCCTTTTTTCTCATTAAATTAGAAAAATTCACGAAAAATGCATGACAATTTCTGAATCTTTAAAACCAAGTAAAAAGGACAACATGAAATTACCTTATCGTGAAAAAGTATATACCCTTTCCAAATATGAACATTTCCACGTATAAAATAAATAAAATATCCAAACACTTTTACTCTAAATTATCTATTATATTATAATGTCACCAACGAATTCATACCGCAAACATAAAATACTTAGTGTCAAATATTTAATATTTCATGCACGTTATTCAACTAAACGTATACCAAATTCCTACAAACATAAAATTCACAAATAACTATATTTAATTAAATTCACTTAAACAATGTAACGTCGACTTATTTTTACTTTAAAAAAATCCAGAATTGCACAAAAATGGCATGCGCACATCTTCACTATATCCATGCACACTGCTTTTTCTCATAAATTAGAAAAATTTCACGAAAATGCTAATACTCAACGTATACTACTCAAAACATATTCCAAAACATAAACTCAAATCACGATCAAATTAAAATATAATTAAATTAAACAAACTACTTAAAATAGAATAAGCACACATTAAATTAATAAAATTAGATTACAATCCTAATTACTTTAAACTAAATCATTGCTAATAACAATTTTCCAATATATCATATTAATTTTTTCCTCTCTTACATTTATGAAACACACATAAAAATACGTCCCATAACTGATTTTAAATCTAATCCAACAGTCAAGGAAATCTTCACCAGAATAAGAAATCTAAAAAATTTCAATCCCAAATCGACAAAACTACCTTCTTCACCCGTTCACAAATTGGTCCTTTCCCAATCTTTTTTTTTTTTTACTTGGTCATCTTTTTTCTTTCACAAACAATCTATTTACACCCTTTGTGTTACTCAACTTCACAACAATTCCAATTTAGTTAATACTTTTACAAGGCAAACATCGAAATTAACGAACACTATTACACAACACACATGAAGCTTTCCCCCAATTACCCCCCCTTTCCGCTTCCAGAACTGTAATTCGTCATAAGTCACGTTTCCACAACACAGAATATAGCTAAATACGAAATTTCCAGATTTCCCTTTCGATTAAAACAACGTAATTGTCCTTATGTCACATGATTATCATGACCTCTCATTTCCCACACCAAAATAATGCGTAATCGAAAGAGTGCTTCATTATTACCAAGCCTAGGTGTACCTTATTGCCTCCAAATGTCGCCCAATACCAGTTACCATATTCCAAAGATCACCAAAACATCCAGAATTGCACAAAAATGCGCGCACACTCTTCATATATCATGTACACTGCTTTTTTTCTCATAAATTAGAAAAATTTCATGAAATGTTGAAAAATTTTTGAATCTTTAAATTCGTAAAAAAAGACATATTGAAATAACTGATCGCGAAAAGGATATACCCGTTCCAGAAGGACATTTGTAGTATAAAATAAATAAATATCCAAAAACGGTACCTCTAAATTATCTTATAAACCACCCGAATTATAACAAAACATTAAAATGACAAATATTAGTGTCAAATACTTAATTTTTCCATGCCCTTTATCTACTCAAACGTATCCAAAATACTAAACATATAACTCTCAAAATCAGGATCATTAAATTAAAATATAATTAAATTAAAAAAACACACTTAAAATATAAATAAGCACATACATTAAATAATAAAATTAGCGGTGTATTACCTATGTAACTCGGCGATTTTTTTGGCGAAATTTGGCAACCAACTCTCCTACCGCACCCTTATTTTTTTCCCCGTACCATTTTGTCTTCATGAAGTATGACATGTTTCTTTCTATTTATCTACTCACTCCAACAATCTACTAGCCGAATTACACTTCTGCCTAGAAATTTTTTCAACAAAACTGCTTAATCATGCCAAATATCACTGCAATGGGGAAAAGTGCACAATACCAACTCTTACGCGTTCAACATACCCCTACATCACATGTACGTCGACTTATTTTTTTTAAACAAAATTCCAGAAGTGCACAAAAATGGCATGCGCACTCTCTTCTATATCCATGTACACTGCTTTTTTCTCATTAAATTAGAAAAATTTCCGAAAATGCATGACAATTTTTGAATCTTTACCAAGTAAAAGGACTATATGAAATTACCTTATCGTGAAAAAGTATTTATCCTTTCCAAATATGAACATTTCCACAATAAAATAAATAAAATGCCAAAAACTTTACCTCTAAATATCTATTACATTACACGTCACCAACAATTATACCCGCATACAAATACTTAGTATCAAATTTTCCATGCACGTTTACTTAACAAACTTAACCAAATCCTACAAAAATAAATTCACAAAAAAACTATCAGAAAAATATCACTAAACCAACACGTCGACTTATTTACTTAAAAAAAGATCCCAGAATGCACAAAATGGCATTGCGCCCACTCTTCACTATATCCATGTACACTGCTTTTTTCTCATAAATTAGAAAATTTTCCGAAAATACATGACAATTTCCTCAATCTTTAAACCCGGTAAAAAGAACATATATGAAATTACGCTGATCGCGAAAAAGTATTACCCTTTCCAATTGAACATTTCCACAATTAAATAAAATATCCAAAAACTTTTACCTCTAAATCATCTATTATATATAAACGTCACCGACGAATTCATACCGCAACCATTACAAATACTTAGTGTCAGATATTTAAATTATTTCCATGCACGTTTACTTCAACTTAAACGTATACCAAATTCCTACAAACATAAAAATTCACAAAAATCATCTTAAATATAAAATCCAAATCACATACTTAAAAATAAATGGCACATACATAAAAATAAAATTCAATTAACATCCTAATTACTTTTGCTAATAACAATTTTCAATAATACCAATTCCTTTCACCTTACATTTAGAACAATGCATAAAATAATATCCTCAAATAATTAAAAATACTACTTACCTAATCTTCTTCAGAATCTTGATTACGTGGCGGATATACTTTTCTAATTCATTCAAAACAATATTGAAAGTTTTTTTCTGCGAATTTTTCCTACTTCCTCCACTAAATAAAAAGCAGACTTCTTTATCACAATGCCTAAATACCCATTTCGAAATTCACTTTAGTTAGGGCCATGGGATCCAAAAATTAACCAACTGTTTCACACAACACAGAATAAAGCTAAATACAAAATTTCCAGATTTTTCCCGATTTCCCCCCTTTTCCGATTTAAAGAACCGTAATTCGTCCATTAATATCACATGACATATCCATGATCTCTCATTTTCCTCACGCAAAATAATGCGTAATCGGAAATGAGTATGCTCACATTATTACCAAGTCCCAGGTAGTAACCTTTATCGCCTCCAAAATTGCCAAAATACCAGTTACCATATTGTAAAGATCACCAAATTAGCTTACAATCCTAATATTTTAAACTAAATCATGCTAATAACAATTTTCCAATAATACCATATTAATTTATTTCCTCCGGAGAAAAATGCATAAAAATAATATCCTCAAATTAAAAATACTAACTTAATTTTTCTACAGAATTCAGAGGCATGGGGATCACAAATGCCATTTTCACCAGGTTTCTGCACTGCCTTAAATATCTGTCCTTCCTTTCACACAATCTCATTTCCCTCCCACATATTGGACATTCATACTTATCCGCAATAAGCAATTCTTTTCAATTACACATAAACGTAATAAAAATTTCGGATTTACTTTATTACGGCCATGGGCTCGAAATATTAAACAACATGTTTCACAGAACATAGAATGAAACTACTACTATAAAGTACAGCAGACATTTTTACAAATATACCCTTTTTCCGATTAAAGACAGTGATTCGTCCATTAATGTCACAGACATATCTCATGATCTCATTTCCTCACACAAATAATGCGTAATCGGAACCGAGTATTCTCACATTATTCCTTAAGTCCTAGGTAGTAACCTTTATCGCCTCTAAAATGTCGCCAAACTACCTGTTACCATATTCCAAAGATCAGCCAAGAGTAGTTCCTAAAATTTAAACCTTAAGTATTTTTTTATACCAGCAAGCCCTTTACCTCCTCTGATAAACGAATGACAGTTTACCAGAAAATACGACACAGCTTTAGTATTAGTCCTTTTTGGAGAGAATTTTTTTGCCGACTTTTTGGGAGCAATAAACGAAAAGTTATGATAACCCTGAATACTGAGCTACAACACATGCCACCATTTTTGCCCACATAACGTTAACGAATTTAATAGGTATCAGAGCTTTGATGGCGGAAAGGATAAATTGCAAGTTTTTTTTAATTAAAGTTACTTTTGCCTTAGGAAAAAACAATATAAAAACAAAACTTTTAAGTATCATTCTTTAAATATCTGATGCTTTTAATATTACATCAGCGATTCTTGATACTTTTCTAAATGCCAACTCTGCATATTATAAACTCCACTCCCCCCCTGAACCCACCCACCCCCCAGATATATAGTATGTTGACATAACTGTTGACCTGTTTTTTTAAATTTTATGCAACTTTTGTACATTACTTAGACATTTAATCTAACAGAAATCTGAATTTTTTGTAATTAGAGTTTATATATATGAAAGCTTGACTACATGGCAAGTACTTAAGTACTAATTTCAATGTCTTTAAATGTAATTGTTATAAAGTTTAGATATATTCTTTGCAATAATATAGTGTAATTAACTGTTAGGTAGACATTAAGCAAATTATCACGTCTAAAGTAACAAATGAATCATGAGAATGGTGTAAAAGATCCTTTTTTAAAACTACTAAATAAGAACAGAAGGCATACTTTGTACTTACGATTCAGTCAGCCATTTGTAGCAAGATAACTTAAGATAACAATCAAGTTCAAATGTAAAATTTAAATTCAAATAAACTAGTAGCTAAAGGCTACACAAATCAGTTTAATGCGAAGTTGGATCAAAACTTAAGCGGCGTGGAATTCAACTATCAGCAATTATAATATGGAAGACGGAAAACTAAAAATCTTATCGTATCTAGCAACCTAGTAATATGCCCCGGAAAGGCAAAATACGCCTTGTTTTACAAACTGAAAACCTCATTTGGATTGTGGTGGAAAAACGGATGGGGAAAGAGACAGTAAAGATCCCAAACATAAAATAGCTCTGGTTACAAAGTTCCAGAAGTAAATGCAAGGTTCCTTTAACCTTACATTCACTTCAGAAGTAAGATTTATTTTCTGAGAAATGAATTAATTTCATGTCTTAATGAAATTCAATAATCTTAACTATTCGGCCATGAGTGGACTTATTAGGTCTGGACATTTTTTATTATTACTCCATCTGTTCCATATTTCTCTCCAGCGTAAAATTTAAACCTTAAGTATTTAATACCGTGCTTAACAACTGAAATAAAACAGAAAGCCTTTTACCCCCTCTGATAAAAGAATGACAGTTTACCAGAAAATACACAGCATACCAAATGCAACAGAACGAGTTTCATTACGTATTTCATATACCAGAAATTTTAAAACATAATTCAGGTCGAAGTGTGTACTAAACCGCTATGGCAGTTTGTACGTTTACCCACCTGATCTTTAGGAGACTTCTCGTTACTTTTACCAAAAAGACCCATTTCAGCTTTGATGAGAGTTTTTCTTAAATAAAATTCAGTGAATAATATTCCATCTTAATACTCGTGTTGATCAATTCAAAATATCTGAAATATTCGATTACAAATACATGTTTATGTTGCATCCACGAATTCTCTCAAAACGGTTATATTCTTTAGCCCGTTGAATAAATCTTACGCTTAATTTTATGAGGCTGTTCATATTGCCTCTTCTTCGTCTTATAAGGATATAAAGAAAGTGTTTACACATTTTAGAACGATTTAGGAGCCAATTAAATAATGTCCTAAACGTCAAGAGTATCGTTTTAAATCTCCGATGTGACAGCTTTTTTTTTTTCTTCCTCTGAACTGTAAGTCTGCATCGCGATTTCCATAATCGAAGGGTTTTCCGTAAAATTTCTAGGGGTATTGATTTCCATTCTTCATTCATTGTTTTCCAGATTCTATAAGTAGTAGGGGGTTTCCGCTTAGAAGGAATATTCGTTTCAAGAGTCTAAAGTCTCAATAGTCCATAGGTGAAACGCCAGAGGACATTGCAGGAATACTTTGAAAAGGTATATATGAAGTACCTGTAGGAGTCATGTCTTGATCAAGTTTCAGTCTCTGAAAGGCCGAAAGCGGTGGACTACTTTACTACGGAGGTTCCTAATTTATGGACCACCATTGCCTCCTGTGAAAAGAAAAACAATTTGCATCCCTGCGTTCCCTTGGATCGAAGGGCGCTTCCAACCCTACCGACTTTTGAATTTGAGTCTGGAATATCGACACTTTACGGATATAACTAGTAGCTCTATTTCATAGAGAAAAGAGCGATTACGCATTAGCTCTGGACTTTAATCGACTATCCGCGATTCCAGCGCTCTGATACGCCATCTAGTGGCTAAAAGGTGGAAACATTAAAGCTCGGTATTTACGTTTGACAATGCTACCTAGTTTGTGAAGCGTGTTGTGATCGAAAAGTAATTAAACGTTTTATTTTTTATTGTTGTGGGCATATGTATAACTTAAAAAGAAGTACAGACCGCATGTTTTGTTTGTGTACATCAGTGTAAATCACGAGCTTGCAAGGAACCTGAGTTATGCTTCTATCGCATTCTTGGTTCGAAAAATATCGAACGAGATATAGCAAAACGAAAGAGGGTGGATTCGCGTATTTCGAATTGGAAAGAAAGTGGGACATTATATGAACGTGCGTTCTAAGCATTTAAAAAAAAAAAAAAAAAAAAAAAAAAACTGATTACATTTTTTCTCGTAAGAAAAGTTTTCTTTATATATGCAAAATTTCTTTCTCGTGTATCATACATATAAAACGTGTATGTGTGTATTCTTCGAAAGTAAACATGCATATTAGTGTATTGAAGTATAAATCATTATAGCTCATTAATCTCTTAAATATTATTATACATATACATATACAATTATGCTTTCATGCATATTTTACCTGCAGAAATTTAAATTGTGTTTCAGTTTATGTTAGCAATGATTTAAATGAAAATTTATAGAATGACACATATAAAAGTAAAAGTTAATTATTTTAACGTTAATGATGAACTTTGAATTTCATATTCTAGTAATGTTGAAATTTCTGTGTGTGAGTCATTTCCTGTTAAACTATTTAGAACTGTTTACAGTGGTTCAGGATAGTTAGCATAAAAAATTTCCAGTTCAGAAAATAGGTATGATGATCTAGTATGAGTAATAGTATAAAAAGTATTACAGATATCAAATCTTTTCCACTATAGAATAGCATGCACCAAACAATTTCTTATAAAATGATATACATACCATTGTTACTCGCTGAGCACAGTTAAATGTTTTTTCTTATCTTTTATAGCAGTGTTCGTTTTGAAGTAAGTATTAGTAATAAAAAGTTTTTAAAGTAGCTTAAAAAAAATTTCTCCATGGTGAAAATTAGCTAATGATGAAAGTATTTTTTCTCACTTGAAGTATCAAACGGGCACATGTATCTTTTTCGAGAAAATCTGTTGTTCTGTAATGTAAAACACCCAAGTATTTGTTCAGTGATAAATATTGATAGGGGAGAGACTTTTAAGTAATTTCATTTCTCAGCCATTATTCAAAATATGATTGCATATAACTAAATAACTTTGGAGTAAATTAAACAGCGTACACAGACATGTGTATACAGATATACAGGTTAGCAAATAAAAGCAAGGACAGTGGATTTGGATCAGTTCAGTAATTTATTAGATTGTTTATGTATTCCTGTTTTATTTATAACAAGCTTTTATTTAGTAGAATAAGAATGTGTAGAACATTTAGTAGAATAAGAATAATACATGAATACACAGCCTTTTAGTTGCAAGAAATAAGATTTTGCATAGTTATTTAAAGATGCAACCATATTTATTATCTCAAACATATTCTATCTTAAGTTGTATTTCTGGGGCAAATATGCATTAATTCTCTTACCTATTATTATGTCATTATAAAAATTTGATTTTATCGTGTTGCTTATATGTTCGTAACTAGAATTGGTGTCGATTCTATGCAGTGTTGATACCTGTAACTATAAGCCTCATCGAAAATATATGCATATTGGATGCCTCATCAGTGCTAAGAAGATTTAGCGATTTTTTTTTTTTTTTTTTTTTACTGGCACAATCTCAAAATTTTCATTGCCAGTATGTAATTGTTTGCATACAGCACTTTTACTAAGAAAATTATAGTACATATAAAAAATGCTAAAGATAATAAAACCTTTGGTGACACCAGATATACATATTGATTTGATATTATCTGATAAACATTGTAAATGAATGAATAAATTTGTCATTAAAATATTTCGGAGGAGTAAAAATACATTAAATCATTAAATGAAGAGGCTAGATGAAATATTCAAATTGTCCAGCTTCTACATTTAGTGCGACAGTAAAAAGTCTGAAAATAATATTAATTCTTTGGTAAAAATATCTTTATTTATACAAAATGTTGCAAATCAATCTTAAGTTATTTTTTAGAATGATATATAAAAATCTGCATGTGTATCGTGTATGCAGTGTCTTCTGGATGCATATTCGTGCAAAACTGATGAACACTGGTAGTTCGGTCCAACTTTCGATCCCGGCGAACGGGCTGACTCCATGGGTGTTTTCTTGATTTTACACATGTGTATCGTTTAAGCACTATCTTCTGTATGCATACGTGAATAAAGCGCTAAATCTGGTAGTTCGGTCCATTTTCGAATCCCAGCAAGCGGGCTGACTGCATAGGTGTTTTCGTGATTTTCCGCATGTGTAACATGTTGGCAGTATCTTGTGAATGCATAACGTCAATAAAGCGGGTGCAGCCCGGGTAAAATCGCTGAATACTGGTAGTTCGGTCCAACTTTCGAATCCCGGCGTACTGTCCAGAAATTGTGGATGCATATGTGAATACAGCGGGCGCAGCCCAGGAAAAAAATCGCTGAACACTGGTAGTTTGCTTCAAATTTTCAAATCCCGTCGAATGAAAGCGGGCTTCACTGGTAGTTCGGTCCAACTTTCGAATAAAGGCCAATGAAAGCAGGCTTCAGGCCGCTCAAATGGTGGGCTTACCCGCTAGCAATCATGCGAGCTAGCGTATATCTTGTGATTGCATACGTAAATCAAGTGACCTAACGTGAATAAAGCGGGCGCTCCACGAAAGCATCCCTTCCCTCATGTAGCGGGCTTGCCCGCTAGTGATATATAAAACTGTCCCTCTCTAGCTACATCCCTGAAAGTAAGCATTCATTCAAATATTTAACAAATAGATTTGATCATATTTTATGCATCATGCAGACTATATTTCCAGCTCTTTCATTTAAGTGCAATTTATTTCCAATGTATGAACATGAATACTGTACAAGCTTAGTCACTTATTCGTAATTTAATTCAGTTTTTATATAAAAGTTAAAATTTACCAGGCAATTGCTTAAAAAAATAGTTTAATAGATGTTGCTGTAATTTAACACTTTTGATTTTAATGTTTTCAGAAATTTGCTAAATCAAGTTTATCTTCGTGTGACCTTGCATCAAAGGCACCGATAATAAATTTGTTTTGGCATTTAGTGCTAAAATTTTTAAAGAAAAACTTATTATTGATGTAAAAGAAGGAACAAATTATATTTATCTTGGTAATATGTCTTATGATATGCTTATTTACGGTGTCATGATATTGCAGTAACTTAACAGGGCATTTCATATAACTTGTTTCTTAAGTTGCATAACCTGTTTTCATAACATTTTGTTATCAAATATATATAAAAGGTAAATTTCTAATGAAATATTCTTCATTTCACAGCAGTGTTATTTACCGTGATATAACGTGTGTTCACATTTATTATACGGTTATGATCATTATTCATTATAGAGCTTTATATATTTGTTATATACATTTAATTTATATCATTATGTTTTACATGATTTTGCTTTTAGAATATATCACAATATATATTTCGAGTTGCTAATAGAACTACAGTGGTTCCCAAAGTGTTCGTACACTTATGATTTTCATTGAAATAGGGCTCTATCCATTAATTAAAAGTAAACTTTCTGAATGAGACTTTAATAATAAGATCTATAATCTATTTGTAACAAAATTATATAAAATATTTTTTAAATGTAGTGAAACTTTATTTTTAAGAAATTAATAATCAAAAAATGACAAACATTTTATCTCAAAAAAATGAAGATCTTCATTCTAAGAACTTAATTGGAGGCTATATGCCTTAAGGGAGGGATGCCTTTGTGGAGGACTTTATAAGGGAAACTGGCTCGTATACAAGTATACAAGTTACACATGGGGAAAACCACGAAAACACCCATGCAGCCAGCCTGTTCGCAGGATTCGAACCTCGGACCGAACTACCAGTGTTCAGCGGCGTTACCGCTCGGCCGCTGGTGGTCTTCGCGGGCGGTAATTATGTGAATTAGGATGCTATCATACCGCTCACCCGATGGCAAAAATATAGAAAAGGCAAAGTCAAAGGTTAAATTCATTAATTCTAATCAGTATGCACTAGCAAAGTAAAGCACTGTGGTTTTACATAATTTCTGATTAAGCTATTGAAATCGTACAAACTGAAATAATTCTTGCATTTAAACTTGTATTCCAAATTAAGATTTAACTTGAAATTAATGTAGATAATTACTGAGAGAATTGAATTTT